TTTTCATTTTCATCCAAACTATTTAATGATAAATTAATATCTATTTATAATATCTATTACAAATATGGCATATGAACTCAATAGATACCTAGAAAGGGTAGCCAAAACCAGTTCAATAATTTAATCTAGTGGAAAATTATGGTTTCCAGGTATTTAACCTGCAATCTATCTCGCTTCAACTTTTCTTTCTCACGCCTGTGTACTAAATCGATCAGTATCCTCATTTTTTCCAAATCTTTGCAAAATTCCAACATAGCCTACAAATATTTAACTTGATAAATATTCAGTAAGAAAGACAGTTCGATGATAATAAGTAAATATGTACCACATATTTGGCCATTGTTTCCTCTTCCGATTGCTTGTGAGCCAATATAGAGCAGTCTATGGTTATAAAATTAAAAATTAAAAAAAAAATTAATACCACTAAGTTGTAATTTAATTATAAAGTTGTATATACAATTTTTTTTCTTACTTTAAGATGGAGATGCTTTAGTAATGGAGCACCACGTCTGGATTCCTTTTCAATGACCAATATTTACATATAGTAGTGATCAGCTCTTGCTTTTTTCTAAGCTGCCCTTCATGCATTGACAAAACAGGTTCATTACGATCGTTGGTGCAACTAGGGCTATCTCCATGTAAGAGCGATTATATGCACATGCAGATTTGGAACTCTCAACAGATTTATTAGATAACCGTTTTTCAGACTCTTATGGCTTGACTTTGTTTTTTTTCGTGTATACGAAGCACTGTTTGATTCTTTTCACTTCTGTGTTTTACGAGAAGCTAAGATATTAGATCTACTATTCTCATATAAACCTCTGTCAACATCATCACTAGGAATATTTTTCATCAACTCCTATTCTACGTTTTTTTGGCCACTGGTATAGGATCAATCAATAGACTCTGTGCATTAGCAACTGATTATATATTAATTGGTTCTCTATAATCGTACTAAAAGGAAAAGGATATATAAAAAATCTGAAAGCTATAACAGACAAGGACAGTGAAAAAAATTGATTTACATATATATTTTTTATATGTAACGATATTTTCAGGTTAAATTGCAAATTTTTCTGTCGTGTAACATACATAATTTTTAGCCAGA